GCTGGTAAAACAGAGCATGTCTACATATTGTGTAAAGCTTAATGGCTGTTACTAAAATTCATTACTAACAAAGTGGTGTTTCAATCATTAAAATATTAAAGTGTTATAGCTCCATAGGCGATTAACAAAGTGAAATGTGCAGTGACTAGAATGATATTGCAGAAAGTGCATTAGTGCATACAGCATATGGATTATCCTGGTGAATACCAAAATATTGTTTACAATATTTAAAGGGAAAGAATGTATATAGTAAATTGAAAAAGTTTATCAACATGTCTAATGTAAAGTGCAATAAATTTAATAATGCTTAGTAAGGAGTTAGAGCTACAAGCATTGAAATACTTTATGATTGTCTCCATGTAATTATTTTTGTATGCATTTTACTGTCTGTGTAATATTTTATATGTATGTATAATACATGTTAAAAAAAAAGAAAAATTAATAAATAAATTATTAAAAAAAAAAAAGTGCAATAAATTATTGAGCGTAAAGTGCGAAGCTAAGGTTACTGTAAGATAAAAGTGCATGAAGTGCAATTAATAGCAATAAATGAAAAAGTTTGTATAAATCTATACAGTAAAGGTGCAATGTGCACTACTAAAATGAAATAGTGAACTATAAAAATGTAAAGTTGTGCATATCTGTTATGGTACATCAAAACAGCACCTATGCTGTTACGTTACTGAAGCAGCTCACTATGCAACCTGACATGAAACAAAATTATAAAAAAACATTTTTTTAAAAATTACTCCGTTCTAATCACTAAGTAACGTGTATTAATTCATCACAAGATGGTTAACTATATATAATAATTTTACAAAAACTAACTGAAGAGAAGATTTTCATTAAGTCCTCCTGGGGCCACAGTTCTTAGTTCATAAATCCAGTATGCTTCTCTGTTAAGCAAAGTACGACCTCGGTCACCACCACGTCTAGATTGAGGTACGTGGTCAATTGCTGTAAATTTAAGTGAAGATAAAGGGTGCTGTGCATTCAAAAAGTGCTTAGCTACTGGCTTATCAGACACTCCATCTCGATAGGCTAGTCTGATACTTGAACGATGGCCCCGTATCCTTTCACATAAGGGGGTCTCAGTCTTGCCCACATAGTTGAGGCCACAAGGGCATGTCAGTTTATACACCACGAACGGTGTTTTGCATGTAATGGTGTGTCTAATCTCATACTTTTTATTGGTGTGGGGGTGGTGAAAAAACTTGGCGGGTACCATATGACCACACATAACACACCCTAAGCACCGTATACATCCCCGATTGGTCGTCTTGGCTGTTTTATTATAGCTTTTGACTGGATCCGTCTGCACTAGCAAGTCCTTTAAATTCTTATTCCTTTTAAAACAAATAAGAGGAGCTTCTTTAAAGACTTTAGGGAGCGTATCATCTGTTGCTAACATCTTCCAATTGTCCTTGACGACTCTCGCAACTGAAGATGAATGTTGGTGGAAAGTCATAGGAAAGACCAGTCTCTGTGGAGAGTCAGTTTTCCGAGTATCACGTGCCATTCTGGCCTCACTGAGTGCTCGCTCAAGAGTACTTCTATTATATCCACGATTGAGAAATATTTGATACATGTCCTTCAATTGTCTTTCCATCATTTCTAAGTTGGAGTTATTCCTAATGACACGTAGAAATTGTGTCTTGGGCAAAGAGTTCTTAAGTGCCACAGGGTGTGCGCTTTGAGCATGTAACAGCAGGTTACGGTCTGTAGGTTTAAAATATAGAGAATATTCAATTTGTTGTTCACTTACTGTTAATTCAAGGTCTAGGAAGTGAATATTTTCACGACTGATATTCGCTGTAAATCATACTGGGGTAGGTAATTTATTGAGTTGTTCCACCATATGTGCCACTTCTAATTGTGTACCTGACCAGACAATCAGCACATCATCTATGTAGCGATAGTACTGCACAATATGCTGAGCATATTGTGATAGAATATATTTTTCCTCAAATACAAATATAAATGCATTAGCATACATGGGGGCCATCGCTGCCCTCATGGATGTGCCGGCAACTTGCAGGTTCCATTTATCTTCAAATCTGAAGTAGTTGTTTTGTAATGTCAACATTAATAATTCCAGTACAAATTCAATAGCGGGACCTTGGTAGTTCTTAGTCTGTGTAATTACGGTTCACATGGCTTCAATGCCGTCTTCATGAGGAATGATGGTGTATAAGCTTGACACATCCATAGTTATCATTAAAAGCTCCTGTCCGTGGGTATGTAGCGACTTCTATTTGGTTAACAACATCTGTGTATCTTTAATGCATGTATGCAATTCCTCAACTGGTCCTTTAACGATAGAATCTAACCATTTTGTAATTGGTTCTAAAATGCCATCTACTGCAGATACAATTGGATGCATCGGTGGTTTTTGTAAATTTTTGTGTATCTTAGGAATACTATAAATGATCGGCGTTCGTGGATTGGGTTTGTGTAGATAGTGATACAATTGAACATCAATGTAGCCTGCTGTAAGCGCCATGGATAAAATATCAACAATTTTGGACTGAATCTGATCTGTAGGATCACTTGATAACAAGTCGATACGTATTTGTATCTGAAAGCTGTGCCTGCAATTCATTAGCATAATCTTGATAATTCATAATCACAATCCCCCCACCTTTGTCCGCTGATCGAATAACTATGGTAGGGTCATCCGCCACCTGTTTAATTACCTTTCTTTGATGTTTAGTAATATTTTGTGGTTTATTCCTTTGTGAAAAGATGTTTTGAGAGATCTTGTTAGTAGTTGCTAGATAAGTCTTAATAGACGCCTTACTTGATTGAGGGTCGAATGTAGATTTTCGTTTGAATTGATCAATTGTTTTAGTATCAAAAGATTTCTTATTAGGAGCCAGACGATCAAAG